AAAAAAAAAAAGCGCCAGGGATCTAGAGTCAAGCTGGCTTATGCCTCCATCCTCATTATCACTAGTGACTCTGAGCCATGGGAGGTGTATTATTGGGGTGCGCTTTAACTACACTCCTTGGGGGCTCAGTCTTACTGATGAGGGGGGAAAGGTCCCAGCTTTGGCAGTCACATTGCAGGTGGAGTTACTAGTGAAAGACCTCAGCCAAAGTCAGATTTGGTGTACCCCAGTGCAACCGCATGGAAGTCACATCCTGACTCCCCTTCGGGATGGACTTGGCACTTACTATTGGGGAGTCCCATAGCCATCTGAGTTGAGTGCTGCAGAAATAGCCACTATCAGGGCTGGGGATCCGTAGCCGAACAGGTACATGAATCTCTTCTTGAACCGGTTGGCCCTGGTGTAATTCACGACCTTCAGGTTCCTGACGGTGAGGAAGAGGTGCAGCCCCTCCAGGAACATCCAAGTGAAGCAGGCCAGGAAGAGGTAGTGTAGGAAGCCAGCAATGACAGCACACACCACCTGAGGACAGGACAAGACAGAGCTCTGGGACTTTGCTTCTGGGAAGGGAAATACTGAATTTGGAGGTGGGGGGACTTTTGTGAGGATCACATAGGGTTTTTTATTAACACATCTCTCCAGTTACAGAGCTCTCCCAGAGACAATACGTTCTTCAGTCTAAGGGGGGCTTGTCTAAGGGCAAACTGGCTGGCCCTTTCAATCATTCAGAGTCCAGCCCGGTCCTGATCTCCACTCAGAAAAGATGGTTTCTGGGAGTTGTAGTTCCCAAATGAATCATGGAAATTGTTGGATACTGTGAGGAATCCTAGGAAAGGGAGCAGGGATATAAACAAGTTCCTGGTCCTCATAATAGGGAGAGACGTGGAGGGTGTAGGTTCTCTTCTCTATATCTGCTTTAGGGTATAGGTGTCTTGCATCTGCCCATCAGTGTGGGGGCAGAGAGGACAGGCAGGGGACTGTGACTCTGGAAATGGGGGTTCCTTTGTCTGAGTGATGGAGCCAACAAAGAAAAGGGAAGGTTTTCACCCATAGAGATTTCTTTTGGAGGGGAGTAGATAATTATTTCTGTGGACTAAAGAGCATGGAATAAATGTTACCATCCAGCTGAGGGTATAAAAAGGTGCTGGGGTGAGGGGAGCTTTAGAAATGCTGACAGAGGATCTGGACACAGCTCAATTTTAAACCAAGAATAAAAGTGGATAACAGACCTGACTACCGGTGCGGGTCACCGCGGTGAGGAAGAGCAGGTTGGCCAGGAAGAGGCAGAGGCAGAGCTGCAGGTGGAGGGAGGTGCTGATGTTGCGGATGGAGCGGCACAGGAGGAAGGTGAGGATGGCAAGGAGGAGACACAGCAGGGAAAGGGTCAGTCCCATGTAGGTGATGATGGTCAGTGGGTAACTCTCCTGTAACACAGCAGAGGGAGAATCACCAGTGAGCCCTATGACCCTATATGGAATATGGGTGAGCATTTATATTATGCAACAGAGTCCTGTGGCACCTTTAATACTAACAGATGTATTGGAGCATAAGCTTTCGTGGGTGAATACCCAATACAGCTGTTAGTCTCAAAGGTGCCACAGGACACTCTGTTGCTTTTTACAGATCCAGACGAACACGGCTACCTCTCTGATACATTTATATTATGGATACCAATATTACAAGGTATGCCATGTAAGATATCAGTAGAAAAGTTATGATTTACTAAGTATGAGAATCTTGTTTATATGTATGTATCCTCTTTGCATCGTGAGTTATAAATGTGTGTGATATATCTCTGCTGTGTTTCTGGGTGACACCCCCAGACAGATTGGCATCAGCACTGTACAGTCTGTTTGATGGCCCATCAAGGGTAATCAGCTATACCAGCGTTTCTCAAATTGGGGTCCATGAGCCCCGCTGACCAAGTCCTCCACCTCCCTCCCAGTGTCTTCTGCACGCTGGGGAACAGCTGTTCAGAGGCATTGAGGAGGCGCTGGGAGGGAGGGGAAGTGGGAGGGGAGGTTACTATGCAGCGTTCAACCGGGCAAAATTCCCACTGATTTTGCCCAGATCAGAAGCTCCGAGTCCAGCCCTTTGATCTGAGTCTCACAGTGAGATACCTCCACTTCGGTGTGACCCATAAGGAGTGCGAAGCTGGAGAGATGGTCACAGCTGCAGATGGTGTGAGTGCTGTTCGTGTGGAGAACAGTGCAGCCATCCTCAGCCCAGGTGCCTTTCCCAGCGATGAATTTCCAGTGAACGCAGTGAGCCTCTTCCTCCTCTTTCTTCGCCTGGAAACAAAAACACCATCATCCTCTTCCTCCTCACTGGATCATGGGGAGAACACGGTTTCTTTTGTCACACATCTCTAATAGACAATAAGAAACCTGAATTCACCAACAGCTTCATGGCTCTCATTGTGCTGCACCTAACAGCCATTTGGGACATCTCATTGGCAGTGGAAATACAAGTGAGATCCTCCAGTTCCAATAGCAAAAACAAGCCCCCAATCCCAGAGCTAAAGTGGTAATTCCCTTAACTCTGAGCACTGAAGGGTCTATGACACACAATTTTGCAGTTCCAATTTGAGCCATTAAAGGCATTCACACACCTGCCCACAAATATCCACATGCGCCCTAACAAGTTCATTACTTTATCAAAGAAGGCACCATCTCATGCTGTTTTCCTGAACTCTGCTATCTATAGGGTAGAGGTCCCCAAACTGTGGGGTGTTGCCCCTAGAGGGACACAGAGGAACCTTCAGATGGACATGACAGGCCTCGGGTCAGCCACCATGGGGGGCAGAGAGGGAGCACCACCCAGCCCCTTCCCACCCTGAGCTCTGCTCTGGTCCCACCAGTAGCCGCATCCCCAACTTCCAGCCCCATGTCTGGCAGCGTCCCCAGATTCAGCATGGCTCCATTCCCAGCCCCAGCCCCTTGCAGCTCCATTCCCAGCCCAGGATGGGGGAAGGGGCGGGGCTGGGAACAGAGCTGCACCTAGCCATGGGCTCGGCTGCTGGCCCCACCACAGCCTGGTCGCTGCGCCACTCCCGCCCCCAGCCTCAGCCTCCAGCCATGGCTCTGGTCCTGCTCCTGGCCCCAGACCCACCCCCCACCTGAATCCCCAGCCTCAGCCCCCTTATCCCTGTCTGTGTCCTTTCCCACCTCCCCCGAGCTGCAGCCCCGCTCCCGGCCCTGGCTCAGGGGGAGGGGCGTGAATGGGCTGGAGGGGTGCGACCCTCAAAAGTTTGGGGACCACTGCTATAGGGAGTTGCCTTCCAATTATTCCTGCTCTAAGGGGTGAGCCAGACAGTTGTTACTCCTGAGCATTTTACATGATGAATCATAATCCAATCAGGCCTGGTGTGAACCCTATGTAACGTCCTCCCCAGAACAGCCCCCGTGTCAGGACTGAAGAAGCTCCCTCTCTTTCTCAGATAACTGTTTCTCAGTCCAGAAAGACAACACAACTCAGATGCCCTGCAGGAGATATACCTTTTAAGTGACCACCTGGAGCCCTGGGCACAGAGCAAAGTAAAAAGATCTACACTCACCTGTCTATGGCGCAGAGTGAAGTTCACAGGTTTGGAGATATTCATGGGCCTCCCATCTCCAATAGCCCCACTCACCACCCTGGAATTCAGGTGAAAATTCCTCAATTTCTCATCAGCCATTAGATCTCCCTTGTTGAGAAATCTCTTGTCAATGATGGAGTCCAGGGTGGAGTAAGAAATAAAAGCAACAGCCACAGAATCTGAAAACATGAAATGATGCTTCATCATAGAGCCAGGGACACTGAGACAAAGAAAGAGCAAGCCAGGTGCCAAAGGTCACAGTGAGTCTGGGAACAGAACCATAGAATATCAGGGACCTCAGGAGGTCATCTAGGCCAAACCACTGCTCAAAGCAGGTCAAATCCCCTGACTTTTTTTTTTTTACCCCAGTTCCCTAAATGGCCCCCCTCAATGATTGAACTTACAACCAGGGCCGGCTCTAGGCACCAGCAAAACAAGCTGGTGCTTGGGGCGGCACATTTTTAGGGGCGGCATGGCCGGCGCCAGAATGCCGCCCCTAAAAAATGTGCCCCGGCCACCCTAGCTCACCTCCGCTGCTGCTGCCACGGTGCACGGAACAGCTGATTTGCACGCTGCTACTCGTCCTCCCTCCCAGGCTTGAGAGCCTGGGGAGCCTGGGAGGGA